GAGAGAGAGAGAGAGAGAGAGAGAGAGAGAGAGAGAGAGAGAGAGAGAGAAAGAGAGGGAGAGAGAGCGGGATACTCACATGGGAATGTCGTCATCTTCACGCGCGTAATTGAAGATGCAGCAAAACCCGTCCTGCGACTTGCGAAACGCGAAGAGCGACGAGCAGTTTCGGACTCTCCCATGCAGCTTGCATTTCAGTAGCATAATCGAGCACTGCGGCGACAGCTGGAAAATTCAGTCGTGCGACACGTGTCGCCGTGAATAGCCGACAACTCCCTGCGCGATAACACGCTTCCCGAGCGCGACACGCGAAATGCCGTGCAAATAATGCTCTAATTGATCTCCCGGGAAGCCTCACGTTTAATGCGCGACTATATCGCGTATAAATAAAGCCGGCCGCAGAGGTTGATTACTGTTTGCTCGAGTCGCTAGGAAGCCGAAAGTTAGGACGAATTTATGCGCGAGACATCCGCAAAAAAGGGCAGATGCCTCGATAGTAACGCGATCACGCTACTCGGGAAATTTGCATTTGAAATCGCCGAATTTTTACTCAGACTTCCATCATTTTATACTTCATGATTTAAGATTTAACAAATTCAGAATAATCGGTCGTTCAATTGTTAAAGTGAAAGTGCCAATGTATTTGGGCACGTACCTAATTCTGGATATTCTTGTTATTTTGATTTTTAAATACAAATATTTACCTGTTAACGTAGAATGTATACAGAGTGAATTACCTAACGGTAAATTCTAAAATATCTCTGTTATTTTTTTTTATATTAGAGGAAAATGTGCAAGGAATAAATTGCGTGGTTGGTCAATATTCATCCCTTCCAGCCGCACAATTTATTTCTACTCATTTTTCTTTAATATAAAAAACAGAAATATTTTAAAATCTAAAATTACAGATAATCCTCTTTTTCTCTCTCATCCTGTATACATAATATTGAATATATATGCATATTTTACCTTAAAAGTTTAAATATCTGTATTTAACAGTCAAAACAATAAGAATATCCAAAAAACATGTCCAGGCGTTAGTACTTTTATCTCTCACAACGTAGAAAATCCTAAAGAAAGAGAGCATAATGAAAAGAATATTCGGTTAAGTGACATTGATTTAGGTCAAATTTTGGTAAATGTTGCTCGTTTTTACATACGTACAGTTTTCATTATGTCGGTTATATCGTAATCTCCCTTGTGATAAGTCGTTAAAAGTTGATGGACTTCCTCATTGCGATCTTCGTCCATTTGGAATTCGGACGCGTATAGGTTGCCCAATTGAGCGAGCAAGGTGAGGATTTCATCAGCCGACAAATTCGTGACGTTTGCATGAAAACTGATTTCGGGAAATAACGTTTAATGATGCTTCCGGTGAATTCATGTCGCAAATTGTGCTGTCGAAATATTTTTAATTGGTGCACAATGAAAGCTGCGGGTGCACCGGTGGTCGCGTTGAAATCGCGGCGATTTCAATGACTCGCGCGGGTCTAATGAATTTGCTCGGTCGACCGCTTAATAAGCGATCGCGAGCAATGAGCGGCATTTTAATAGCGTCGTAAAAATTTGCATTCTCATACTCCAATTAAGTAATATCGATTACAAGCGAGCGGAATTAAGCGAGAACAATTCTTTAAGTACTGACTTGCTTTACGCCCCGTCATAAAATGCAATCGCGATTTAATGCAGCCGGCAGCAGCGAGCTACTCAATTATGCAACAACCCGTGTAAAAATGCAGCACCAGGTACAACGTTTCTGTACGAGTCGACGATTTTGAGAACGTCTCGAATCAAATTCGGGAATTCTTTGTCAGAACAGCGTGTCGTGCCTTTCTCATCTCTGTCTCGTTCAAAATGTGCTTAAAAAAGTTTGAGGAATTTGCATACGAATTCAGATGCGGGGAAATATTTAATAGAAATATTCAAATTGAAACGCACAGAGCGCGAAAAATCACGTAAGAGCTTATGCATGAAAAAAAATATCAGAAACGAAATGTTCCATAATGTTAAAAATGCAATGGGAACTCGCTTAACACCACTCCATTCGATACCGTTCCGTTATTATAGCGCGCTCTCGCTAATGCTCGCGGTAAAACGGTAATTGGCCGCCATGGAAAACCACGGTATTACTTTAGAAAATCCCCGAACTCAGCGGCTTCGGACGATAATGCGGGAGCACAGTGTGCCTCATGCAAAATACACACGCGTGCAATTATTAAGCGGCGCTCTAAAAGTTCCAGGCGCTTATCCCGACAGCATTAGCCGAGAGAGAAAAAGAGCTCTTTTTCTCACAATGTTTCCTAACGTCGGCACGTCTAATACCCAAAATTGACGCTCGATGCATCGCGATGTTTCAAATAGAAAAATTTCCAGGAAAAATTGGTCATTAACTAAAAACTGGCCGGTTTTTATTGTCTAGAATTTATTAGAGTTCAAAAATTGGGCAGAAAAATGCTGGCTAGTTATTAGCCAGAAGCTAGAAAAAAATGCTAATTAAGAATAAAGTAACAACCAAATCAATAGTGAATAAACTTGCACGTGAAAAACCTTCTCAAATACGAGTTTTACATTATTTTTATATTAAATATTTATATAAAATATAATATAATTTCGCAATGTAGGATCAAACGATGAAAACTATCGAATAAGATAGAATTTTGCAAAAAAAAGAAAATGTTAGAAACTGATTAAAAACTGGTTAAAACTGGCCAGAAATTGACTGATTTTACCGTCTAGTTGCTGGCTAACCGTCGCCTAAACTGGCGAGCTAGTAACCGGAATTCCTAGCCAGTTACTGGCCGGGAAGAGGTCGCGCATTCTGCTTAAGGCGACTCGTGCACGAACAAAAATCGAAACGACATTAATCGACGCGCAAGCGAGGCGGAAACTCGCGTCGCGCGTACTTTGGCGAAACTTCGGCTTCCGGTTCCGAGTCAACGGCTCCGTAACCGTCTCCTCTATTAACGAGCCGCGAAAAGTTGGCGCGAGTCGAAGCGCCGGGAGCGCAGCGCGGCGGCGACGGCGTCGCGCGAAACGCCTGGATTTTCGGATATTAACGTCCCGATTAATGAGCCGTAACCACGATTCTGCGCTCTCTATCAATGCGCGATCCGCTCTCATTGCGTTCCAAGTGCTTGTACTGGGCGAATTAACGATAATCGGCCGCGCCAATTGACTCACCGCGAAGGTAAAAAGCGGTAGGAACCCGACGCGTTGATCGGTCGATTAAGCTTCCCATATATATGGCACGTCAACCGTGGTACGAGTCGACCCTACCTGCCCGGTCGAAATGATCCTACAGAAATTCCAGCGTGTTTAGCGGACCTATTTTCGACCGTGCACGCGCGTCCATCGACCATAAACGTATCATTCGTATCGTTTGTCAAATCAACGGCATCCCTCTCTTCCGATCGTAGAAAATTCCGTCGCTTGTTCATCGTCGTTAATCTTCCGCGAACATCAATCTCGCCGTCAGTCATTTAATATAGTTCCCGGACACTTCATTTTAATAATTACAACGACCAATCGCGGAACAATTGGCTCGAGTCGAAATTTTAGTCGATCTGAACTTCCTAACATCTATATATCCTGATCAATGTATGTTTGATACATACAAAAATTGAAATCCTCTCGGCGAAGCTATCAGATTAAATAGAATCAAGAGAGGTTGTTGTAGACTTCAAAGTATCAAAACAGGTCTTGAATTTAGTCGAGATAGAAAGTAATATCAAAATCTCGACTCGGGAATGTATACATAGAAACTGAAGTTCTACTTGGCCTTTAAATAGTACCAATTACTCGAAGTCCTTTTTGTAGGTTGTAAAGAAAATTTCTCCACATTACAAAGTTAGTAGTTAAAAGAGATTGATTAGAATCAAAAGAGATTGATACAGCCTTAAGAGTGTCAAAATAGACGTTACATAAAATATCGAGGTCGAAAATAGGGTGCAGATTTCGACGCGGCGAGGAATTTTTCGACTGCAGTGGGATTGTAATCGCGAACTTGGAATCTTTGCGTTTGCTTTGCAGAGTACGATCTACGAATATTTAGATAACCGAAATCTGTGAAATTAGATCGACGTGTTCGCAAATTCACGTGGTTTCAAAGTAGCCAGCGGCAACGCGTCGGTAATCGAGAAGGTTAATGATAACGTGCAGCGCTGCTCTGACGAAACACCAACAGGCATCGGCAAATATTTGCATGGCCGCTTTATTATTATCCGTAATATAATCCAAAAGTAATTCGTCTCGTGATCGAGCCAGTGCAGCGCAGCGATTGGGATATTTATTGACGGATGTGTGCGCTGCGCGCCGGTTAACGTGCAGCTGTTTTAACGCGGAGAACATTCGCGGAATAATACACGTGTTAAGCAGCCGGCAACTTCGCGGCGATCGATACGGATCGATCCGGTGGGATCGTTGCGCGAATATCAGAGCGAAATTACATGTGTGTTTACGCGAAGCATCCGAAGCATCACGAATCGTCCCGGCCGTCAATGTGTGTGCACCGCCACCTCGCGCTCGTGCACGCACCGCCGCGCTTGTTTAATATAATATACGAGTATAATATAATTTAATATGAGTGCATATTTATTTAATATACACAAAATCGCTCACATTTTGTCTGCCATTGCGCTCGCGGATTTTCGACTTATCCGGTTGATGGAGCAGATGGCAATCCCTAAAAATTACCGAGGCGTGTGTCTTTTGTTAGTGCTCGTTGCTAGCGAACGGGCGAAAATTGAAAAGCGGCACAAATGGGGAAAAAACAAAGGAAGAAAAGAAAGAGAGCCGCTTTGTTACTTGCAATTACGTATTGAATGTAACACGTGTATTTCGGAGAATAGCCGTACCTGGGAAATCTAATTTGGTCGTGTGGTAATCATCCGAGTCCATGGAGGTTAGTATAGGTGACGTCACGAATGCAAGGTAAGAGGAATGAACTATGAACAGGAGGCTGCTTATTATCACGCAATGTATCACGATCCATACGATTCTGAAACAAACGTATTTCGTCTCAATAGTCGTTACTTGAAATTCGTCTCATATGAGATATTTAGATTTAAATTCGAAGTTAAATCTGAAGTTGTCAATTAAATCGTATGACGTTATAATTATAACTAACTGAAGAACCTATATTTAACTCCAAATTCAAATCTGAGTATCTCAAAATGTAGACCTAAAATCCGATCTGCGTATCTCATTTGAGATAGGTTTCAAGTAACGATTATTAATATAGATCTTAATGAAGTGAAAACTGAAATCACGGCTTGCTTTGTGTGGCAAACCAAATCTAACTCGTAAATATATGCCATTTCCACGCTTATTAATATTCCAGACTTCAAACAGGAACATAGTACGACGATAATTTGTCCCTCTGCCGTTTAACGTCGCCTAACGCGTTCATTACCGGATTCGCGCGGCGCTGTTAACGTCACGTGTGTGACGTGTATAACGTTACATTAAATCAAGCGGCGTGCTGCATCGCGACGTGACTCCGCCGTTTTGCGGAATATTATGCTTCGTCACTTTTTTCCCTGCTCTCTCGTCCTTTTCGCCTTTTTCGCACGAGCGTTTCGCGAAACACGCTCGTGATTTGTGGACGACCTGATTTGCGGCGGCCCGCCGTGAATCCAAGAATTCCACCTCCTCCGCGCTCGCGCTACCGTTAATCTCACGAGAAACGGGAATACGCTCGTTAAACCGCGCAACTTTAATCATACGTTACGCTTACGCGATGCTCAGCCGATGTGTAATTTTGCGAGTTCACGTCTTGTTAATCCGCGCGAGCGAACGTGCGCGGCGGTTCTCGCAAATCGCTTTGATAAAGGTCCGATAATCGCATTAAGCGAGCTGAGTTTCGGAGAGCTCACGCCGCTAAATGTGTAAATAAGATCCAAATAAATCCTTCGCTTGAGCGAAGTTTAGCTGTGCAGAAGTTGCGACTGCTGTTGGACGCGAAACGTCCATCGCGTGCGATCCTAAGAGAGCGGAATAAGACAGATAAGCTGTTTCGAGACACGGAACGCATCGTATTTTTAAAGAATTAAAGAAGGTTGAGCAATTATTATATTTTGCACTTTATCTCGTATATTCGATGCGAATTTAGTACACTGAGACAAAAATACTTGAGAATTTATTTGAAAGATATGAAATTTATTTTTAAGTAAAGGCTTTGGAAACGATCTAACGTGAAAAGAATTCGATCTAATCGCTGACAGCTGATCGCAGTTCTTTCATTCCGTGACTGCTAAATAGAATTATTCACGGGAGAATCTCGTTGTTTGAAATAAATCATGACGCACGCATCATACCAGGTGTAGAAGTATGAAACCGGAATTCCCCTATAAATGGTGCCAGCGTTCAGTTTAGTGACCGTAAGACCGCTACTGCCGCGTTATTATATTCTCCTAACAGCTGACGAATATTGTCAACAAACATAACCCCAACTTTCATTCTCTAGTATATTTTTGTATAACCTTAAACATGTCACGTTTCGAGCCTACTAACTATGATTTGCGGACAGCATTGATTTTCTGTTATCATTTAAAGAAAACTGCTGCAGAATCACATCGAATGCTTGTCGAAGCTTACGGTGAATATGCTCTTGGTAAATCTCAGTGTTTCGAGTGGTTTAAAAAATTCAAAAGTGGTGATTTTGACGTGAGGAACGAAGAACTATGAACTATGAACTATGAACTATGAACTGCTGAAACCTGGTCAAACCGTCAATACTAATCGCTACCAACAACAAATGATCGATTTAAATCGAACATTGACTAAAAAACGACCAGAATATGCAAAAAGGCAACACAATGTCATTTTGCTCCATGATAATGCCCCATCACATACAGCAAAACGGGTCAAGGAAACGATCGAGTCGTTCAGTTGGGAATTACTACCGCATGCGGCTTATTCTCCAGACTTGGCTCCGTCCGATTATCACCTGTTCGCATCGCTAGGACACGCTCTCGCTAACCAACGCTTCGATTCGTATGAAAATGTGGAAAAATGGCTAGATAACTGGTTCGCTTCAAAAGATGAAAAGTTTTTTTGGCACGGCATTCATAAACTGCCAGAGAGGTGGGAAAAATGTGTTCAAAACAGTGGAAATTATTTTGAATAAAGTATTATTTATCACTTTCGAACAACAGACGTCTTATTTGTATAAAAAAATTCCGGTTTCATACTTCTACACCTGGTATTATCTGCTGATTTTTCTTGGTTAGTTTATTTTACACAAATAAGCTTTATTTCACAACAATTTTGTTTTATTTATTTAATTTTATATCCCTCGCATAAATTTTCAACTATTCTTTTCTCAGTGTAGCAAAAGTCGAGAGCTTCTTATGGATTTTCAAATCATTATTAAATCATCGCTATAATTATCGATTAAACTCACGAAAGACAATTCAAAACTCATAAATATGACATGTCCTCTTGCTCTTCGCTTACTACGTGAAATATGAAAACACTTAGCGTATCTAATGCACGCTTAGTGCTTATTATTTATTCATCAACGTAACGGTTAAAGAAAGCGGAAGCTGTTCTCCGTTTTGAGAAAAAAATATGCTTTTAAAGCTTTCGTTTTAACTTACAGAATATTTAGAGTAAGAAGTTTGAGTAAAACTACAACTCCATTAACAGTCGACGCAGTTGTAGTTGTTTTTCACTTCTCCCCCTTCTCTTTCTTTCTTTTGTGTGTGTGCGCGCGCAAACAAAGTATTCTGTAAGATAAAATAAAAACTCTAAATATGTACGTTTTCTCTGACAAACAAAAGTTCTGTTTCCGCGCTCTTCTCGCAGCCACTATCGGAATTATTCAAACGTTAGGAAACGGCACATTGCAATACGTAATTTTCGTCGTTGATATAAATATCCCAGTACTCACAAACTCTCGTACTCGTCCGTACACGATTCGATAATCGTAAAGTAAATCGTGAAGATAATTTTGGACACGCGAGTTACCTTTCAGACCAAGTTCGGGAACTGGCAAGATACTTGACGCCAACCAAACTAGAATACTGGCAGTAAAACTTGAGATATTTTAGTACAACTTTGCAGAAGGAACAGTGAAACTTGGCCCGTGATTTCCGCGAATTTCTCGTTGTAAAGGTGACTTGGTTCTTAGATTTAATCCAATCCCCCTCGATCCACATCGTGCAAACTCAGAAATCGATTAATTATGGCCTATAATAACAAATGATTATTGTGATTATTAGAGACCAAATCACTGTAAATTTCTTATTAAAAATTTGTTCATTTTATCACTCATCAATTCGTAAACTGAATTCAAAAGATGCACGCATTAAAAAAAAAAAGAAATTAACAAATTATTACCTCTACGATTATTGAGAATCAATGGAGAAGTGTACATTCGGTCTCTATCTCAGCGTAAATTTAGCACAGGAATATGAGTGAATGATTTAACGGCGGATGACGCCATATGGTGTCAAACCGTATACTGTCATCTGCTACGTGTAACGCCAAAGTACATCGAATGGATATCGCGTGTAGGAAACGGCATACATGCATATTCAATCGCAATTAAGACCTCGGGAATATTATCCAGAAATTTAAAAGCACGCGAGATAAAAACAAGATCTGAGAAAATTAGTTTACAAAAAAGGAAAAAAAAGTGTTTATGCTACGCTAATAAAAAAAAGTATGACACATAGTACACTATGTATAACTTATGTAAAGTGTTATTTTGCCTATAAAAATTTTCTAGGTTTTATTTCTTATCCAATTATCCTCTAACACACTTACCACGCGGCACTTGTTAAGCTCTTCAAAAGGCAAACCGCGATCACGATGTATCTATAAATAAAAAGGACTCGATAGCAAATCTGCCTTCGATTAGATCTGATGTTACAATTTACGCATTCGCGTCGCTCGTTACATCTCTAAAGCGTGGTAAAATCTCAAAAATTACGAGAAGTCGGAGAAATATTTATAGGTGTGTCGGACGGTGAGGTAATTAAAACTTCTCGCGAACGATCGCGCGATCGCCGGCTCTCTTTTCTTGCTCCAGCTGTTACACAAGCCACGCGCGACCGAGAGGAACCGTATGTACGCGTATATATCGCGGGGAACGAAACTCCCGTAAGCGCAATTACACGCTGTTACAAGCGGAGCAACGTTATATCCCGAGCAGCCGCGCAAGCATCTGGGATTACGACTGGCGTCGTTTACATCGGGCGCCGCAGTAAAACCCGCCACGGCCGGACCCTGCATGTGTCCCTACGTTGTATCGTACGTCTTGTGACGGTACAGATCCAACCGGGATCAGATCTGTATCTGGCCATCGTTCAATTATTATTCCGCTACTTTGGTATCGCGCTCGCGATCGCGCTATGAAATTGCGCCGTTTGTCGCTTCTCGGGGACGTCATGAATACTTTATAAGTGTGCGGCACGAGCACCTCGCCGTATCGTACGGTACGATCCTCTTCGCGGAGTAAAGGGTAGTGGAATTGAAAGTTGGAAATTTTTAGGGAATATTTTACGCATACACGCACACATAAAACGCAAAGAGAGGGGAAGAGGCTTGAAATATTTATTCTGGATAAATAAGCTGAACTATATAGAGGTCTTAGAACATCTCAAAAAGCACGTGTCGGTCACATCAAAGTGTGTTTTAATAGCCTTCGGACATAAACATGGAGAGTACGTGCATATTATGCAAGAAAAAATAACGTAGATCACTTTGACGGCATCAGCTGGATTAGCGACATGCAATATCTCTCGAAAAGCTCAACCCACGATGCGTTACTCGTTAATTACATTCGCGAACTATCGGCACGTAATATCCATGGCTCGTCAAAGTTGTTAGAGGTTAGGTAATAGGTCGTAATTACAAATTTATAATGCTCTATCGCGTTTCCTCTCTGCCTCTTAATCTCAGGAAACCAGCTTGAGCATTCGTGCTCACGAATAGCCGTGCCCGAGACAAATTACCGTCTTCCTACAAACCGTTTGCACTACTTGCGTCTGACCGCACGTATTCAACGTACTCGACTTGGAACCGCTGCTCAAAGTGCGCCCGCGGTTCCCCAACGCGTTATGATTCACGAATTCAAACGCACCTCTATCTCTCGATGTTTTAGACTTAGAAGATCCTTCCGTGAATTTATCCTTAACGATGCTCGTTATATCATGAAACTAAGATATCAACGGACCTACGTATTTATGGAAATGTAAAGAAAGCATGGAAGATCTCGAGATTTTACTCGATCTTTCTCACGTTGCTACAAGAAACACAATTCGGATCACAGTTCTATTAATAATATTATATAATATATATATATACATTCTGTCAAAAAAGTATCGGGAATTGTCGATTTAAACTGCCCGCGCTAGTCGAAGATATAAAAATTTTT